TCCAGGGAATTGCAGTCCATTTCCTTCACAATGTGTCCTCAACGATCGTTGGTAAGTAGCATTCGATGCCGATTGAGTGTCGCCTGCTGATATGCTCACAAATGTTGTAAATTTCTCCAAGTAGTAGTGACTAGGTTGTAGGTTGTAGGTTGTGGACAGTAGGGTTTAGGAATTGAGAAACATGACTGTCATCTATGATTTTCAGCTTCAGACATGGCTCGAATGGCTCCCGAAATTCTTATGGGTTATGCAGAGCCTCGATATCAATGCATTGACTTGTTTATGGTCTTCGTTCAAGAGATTTGACCAACAGTTGCTTCACTGCAAGTGTGAGTGACGGGGAATGTGCCGGCAAACACAAAAAGCGCACTTTGTATCTGGACTTTGGTGACTGATCATTTATGGACTTTTCTGCTCGCTACAAAACTACTGTGTACAGTGCGGGATGAGCTTAGTCTTCGTCCTCATCGTCATCGACAACAGGAACGGGCTCGTCTTTCTTGGTGGTCTTTACCTTCCGGTCCTTCTCGGCACCAGCAGGCTTCTTTGATGGTGGACCAGCGTCTTCACCATCGTCACTGTCACCAGGCTCCTCGGCATCGTCATCGGAGCCCTCGTCTTCGAGATCGTCTTCATCTTCCTCTTCATCCTCGTCGTCTTCAGCATCCTTGGCCTTGGTGCGCTTGGCCTTTTTCTTTGGAGCTACAGGTAGTCAGACGGAATCGTCCTGGTCGGGCTTCATCAATCAATGCTTACGAGGTGCTTCAGGCCTCGGAATCGTCTTCGTCGAAATTGGATCCCTCTGATTCGGCGTATCTGTGAGGTGTGGGGTCAGCTCTGATAATGCGCAACAAAAATGTGATAACAGCATCAATGCGGATCAATCGCCTGCAAAGGACTCCGAACCGACTGGCAAGTGACACGAAAATGCAATTGAGGTAGCCTTGTGCGGAAAATCGCGCAATAGTATGACAACTCTCAGCATCTGGGAAGGCTGAGAAGGAGTTTTGAGCGTACGCTCAGCGATCGCGAAGCTCCATGACAAAATCCGAGTACATGGCCATCAGACAGCGGACGCAGGCGACCGTGATGCGGCCAGAATCGCAGAAAAGCGAGGTTGGTAGAAGAAGGCATGACGTCAAGGATTGGCAGACTTACTCCTCTTCCTCCTCAGACTCGTCGGATGGGAGTGCCACGAGCTCCTCGGTGTCCTGCTTTCTCTTGCGGGTGGTCATTGTGTGTAAAGACGAAAAAAATTATTTGTGTAGTCGGAAGACAGGAAGTCAGGGTTGGGACGAAGTAATCTGGAGCCTCGGGGGTCGCAGCTGTGAGCTGGATAAGCTGCGGGGACCGGTTGAACTAGGTTCCTTGTCTTGTTTAGTCGGAGGCTGGGGAGCCAGGCAAGGGACTCAGTTCCGTGCTAACTTTGGGTGTGTTGGGTGTGCAGACCAGCCAATGATGGGCGGCCTTGCCGTCACCCGCATGGCTGCGAGAGGAAGCCCGAAAGTAGGGTTGGTGGCAAGCGCCCGCGACGTAGTGCGTGTTTGCTGCAGGTACACAATTACGGGTCAGCGATCCGGCCTCTAGAAGACAGCGTTGGTACTGCTGCGCAACATCGTGTTCAGATCAGTTATGCCTTGGGGTGATGAAGATGCTCAGTCTCCCTAGGTCTCGGTATCGTCCTGCCATGGCCGGTTGCGTGTAGCAGAGGGATGCGAATTGCAAGCCACCGATATTGACAAATCGTCACGTCATTCTTCAGCTTACCTTTCGCATTTGCTACAGTCCTGATACTGCTCAGGGCAAAGATGATGAAAAGAGCTTAAGTGGTCTGCATTATAAAATTGTGGTCCTGCAGTCCGAGCTGGACTCGTAGTGAGATATAACAACGTTGAAGTGGTGACTCAGAAGCTATCTCTCTTCGGAGGTGCCCATGTGCTTAGTGACTGTAGGTGCTTGTAGTCTTGGACACATCATAGCGGCCAAGGTAGTGAACTTCCCATTATTTCAAGCAATACCATCCACCGCTTGTGCAGTTTTCGAATGTCGTTCTGTCGAGATGCAGAGCTCGCCGGCTGCATACGGTTAGCGCCCCCACCTAGCGGCGTACCCCACCATTCCGCAGCAACGAACTACTTGATTCGCGCTGCCTAAACCGCGTCTTCTTCGAAATCTTTACTCTTTCTACCTACACCCGCGACGCACCTGACCATTGGACTCTCACGACACGATACCTCCCTTGCAGCATGTCTGTAGCTGCAGCCCGGCGGCCGGCGGGCCCGAGACAGCCCGTAGTCCGCATCGGCGGACTTGGTCAGTCTTCAACCTACCAGAGTCAGAACACGAGACGGAACGCCCTCCCACCACAAGTTGCAAAGAAGCGTCCCGCCGTGTACAACTGCTGTTCCGACCCGGTCATCGACACAGGCGACGGCAACACACTATGTCTGAGCTGCGGAACAGTTCACGAAGAAAGCGCCATCGTCTCCGAAGTCACTTTTGGTGAGACTGCAGGCGGAGCAGCTCATGGTCGAGGGTGGATTTATTGGAGAAAACCAACGTCACGCCAACTTCCATGGGTGGTTACTATGCGCGGTCTGGGCGGCATGCAGAGCAGAGATCAGTCCGAGATGCTAGGAAGAGACTCGATTGAGAAAATTGGCGTCACTCTGAACATCCCCGAGGGAGCAGCGTTCGCAAGCTCTGATGTGGTACAAGCTTGCCATGA